CCGGTACCTCTCTCCCGACAGCAGCTGGCAGGCGTCGTTGGCCAGGTCCATCAGCGACTTCTTCATCTCCCGCTGCAGCTCCTCGTAGGTGCTCTGCGCCTCCGCCAGGTAGCGCTCCCAGTTCTGGTTGACGGGCAGGTAGGACACCCCCATCTCCAGCATGCCGGCCAGAGTCACCGGGTGGGGACACCTGGGGCGCAAGCACCGGGGCTGCCGTCAGCCACCCCAGGAGGGGGGCTTTGGCCCGGTCCCCGCCCCGATCCCCGCCCCGTGCCAAGCACAGCCCCGCAGCCACAGACGGGGTTTAAACCCCGGCTTCGCCGCTCTGAGCCGCCCTTCATCCGTGAAGTGGATTCAGTCACGTGCTGCTCACCAATGGGGCACGTTCTGAGGAAGGTGTCGCGAGGTGACTGCCACCGTGCGGACACGGCAGGGACAGCGACACACCTAGATGGTCAGCCCCCGCCCACCTGGGCTCTACATACGGCTACTGCTCCGGCTACAGAGCTGTACAGCGTGTTACCGCGCTGAATGCTGGAGGCAGCGCTAACACAGTGCAAGCGATTGTGTGTCTGAACATCTAAACATAGAAGAGATACAGTAAAGCCCTAACCGGTGTGGCTCAGTGGATAGAGCGTCGACCTGCAGAAAGGGTCCCAGGTTCGATTCTGGTCAAGGGCACGTACCTGGGTTGGAGGCTCGATCCTGACCCTGGCTGGGGCAGGTGCAGGAGGCAACCAATCAGATGTGTCTCTCTCACATCGATATTTCTCTCTGTCTCTCCACGGCTACTGCTCCGGCTACAGAGCTGTACAGCGCGTAATGCGCTGAATGCTGGAGGCAGCGCTAACAGTGCGTCTTACACTCTCTCTAAAAAAATCAATGGAAAAATAGCCTCCCGTGAGGATTAACAACAACAACAAAAAGATACACTAGAAACACAGTATAAAAGATAAAGCCTGTGTTCGTGCAGATGACAAGATACTATGCAGCGAGAACCCTAAAGACTCAACACTCAAACTAGGTCTGGCTGACATGACTCTGACCACATGGACTGGAAGCCCTGAGCGCTGATCTGGGTGGAGTGGGTGCTTAAAAAGCTGGGACCACCCACAGCCCCAGCCTCCCTGCAGGACCTGCACAAACCCAGTGTCCAGGGCCCCAGCGGCCCCCACGGACAGAGGCTGCCCGCCCCCTGACGGCAGTAGGCCGGGTGCTGGGAACCCACCGGCCCAGGCTCCCCTGAGGCCGCGCTCACCTCTCCAGGAAGAGTGGCAGCTGCTCCTGGAAGACCTCGTAGGTGGCCCACACGTCCTGGGAGCAGTACTGCATCAGGTCCTGGCACAGGCGACAGGAAGGCGCTGGGTGGGCAGATGTCCCACTACCACCGCCGGGCTCAGGGTCAGGTCTGGCGCGATGCTCCCAGGGTCGGCGAGGGCTCCGCCACCCCCGCTCCCCCGAGCCCTCTGCACCCCCATACCTGGAAGTTGTCGCGGACGTCCTTCATGCTGCCCTTGACAAAGAGCTCGCGGGGCTCCTTCTCTAAGGGCGGCCCCCCGACGTAGAGGCCGTGCACGTCCGCCAGGTTGTTGACGCTGCTGATGTCCAGCCAGTCCCAGGAGGAGATCTGAGGGGCCGGACCAAGGGACATGGTTGCTCAGCTGGGCCCCAGGACTGACCGGCGGGCGCTGAAGGGGTCCCCAGCCCCCCGCAGGCGTCCTCACCGCCGGGCCGTTGCCTTTGCCCTGGGACTTCTGGGCTCGCTGTGTGACCTGCCGGGCCTTGTGCTTGCCCTGCCGGGCCGCCATCCACAGGCTGCGCTGGAAGCTGCTGAGCCCCGAGATGGCCATATGCATGCTCATGGTGTCCAGGAAGCGCATGCGGGAGCCCTGAGGACAGGCTGCGGCTGAGGGGCCGCCCGCCCGGGCTCCTCACCGCTCCCTCCCCATCACACCGCTTCCCCCGCCTTCATGCCCGTGAGGGGCCGCCCCCCCCAAATTCTAGCCACCCTGAAGGTGCGGACCTGGCTCGATCCCAACGCACAAGTCCTCCCAGCATCCAGCACAGCTCGGAGGGCACCCTGGGCACAGAGTGGCAAAGCAAGGCCTTCTGAGCTCTCAGGCGCACCCCCAGCCCCGCCACTCACAGCTCCGTGGCCCTGGGCAAGCGGGCAAGGCTGGGCCTCCGCACCCTAAGCCACGGGCTAAGGCTGCGTCCCCTGCACTGCCCTTCCCCCGGCTGTCGGGAGAACACATGATAAAGCATTTTCATAAAATTAAGAACTGTCACAACTGGCCCGGGCCGGTGTGGCTCAGTGGATAGAGCATCGGCCTACGGACTGAAGGGTCCCGGGTTCGATTCCAGTCAAGGGCACATGCCCGGGTTGCAGGCTCAATCCCCAGTAGGAGGTGTGCAGGAGGCAGCTGATCGATGATTCTCTCATCGTTGATGTTTCTCTCTCTCTCTCCCCCTCTCCCTTCCTCTCTGAAATCAATACAAACATGTTTTTAAAGAAAATAATTTTTTAAAAAATTGTCCTAACTGTACATCACGCATGTATCTGACATGCACATTGGTCTGACCCTCCGAACAGGCCTATGAGACAGCTGCTGTCCCCTCCCTCCTCCTACGAAAAAGGAAACTGAGGGAGGGAAGCTGAGGAGCTCACACAGCTCATCCGTGGCTGAGGCAGGATGGAGCCCAGGCTGCAGGGCCGGAGCCCGCAGAGACCCACGCTGAGCTCCCACGTGCCACACAAGGAAGGGCCATTGTCCTGTGACAACCAGGTCCCGGAACAGGCTGGTCGACAGTGCGTCCCCCATCAACGAGACCAGCCGCCGCGCACTCTATCCGCTGAGCCAAACCGGTTTCGGCTAAAGAAAATAATTTTTTAAAAAATTGTCATAACTGTACACCAGGCATGTATCTGACATGCACATTGGTCTGACCCTCCGAAAAGGCCTATGAGACAGCTGTTGTCCCCTCCCTCCTCTTACGAAGGAAACTGAGGAAGGGAAGCTGAGGAGCTCACACCGCTCACCCGTGGCTGAGGCAGGATGGAGCCCAGGCTGCAGGGCCGGAGCCCGCAGAGACCCACGCTGAGCTCCCACGTGCCACAGTGAGGTCCCGGAACAGGCTGGTGGACCATGCGTTCCCCTCACCGGGACCAGCCGCCGCGCCGGCCCAGGACCCTCACCTGGATCCGGTACTGCTCCCTGATGTGGGCGCGGTCAAAGGAAACGTTGTGCCCCACCACTAGCTGCTCCTGCCCTTCTCGCTGGGTGGGGCCGGCACTGGCGGGGGCCTCCCAGGGGGTGGGGGGGCGGCGGCGG